CAGATTAATAAAAAAGTCTATAAAACTTTACCATCAGCAAATCCTCATCATAAGAAGTACTAAAATATTGATCAGTAACAAGAGCCTAGATGAAAGGTACTATGAAGAACACATACCATATTGTCAAGCAAGAACAATAATAATTATGATTTATAGGCTTAAGATATTTGAAATAGGGCCAGGAAGATGGCTCAGAGGCATAAGCGCCTGCCTGAGAAGCTCACTGTCCTGAGTTTAATTCCCAGTGATAAACATTTTTTTGAAATAATAGTAATGATATATAAGTTAGAGGGAGACAAATGGAACGAGGTGCTAAAAGTTGTATTTTGTAAAATTAAGGCTTTTTGAATAACTTTAATAAGTTAGGAATAAATTAATTCTCAAGTTTTTGAGGTAATTGCTAAAAGAACCAAAACACAGGATATAACCAATGAATTGACAAGAGGTTGGAAGAAAATTGGATGAGATAAAAGTATGTAAGTAATCCGGGGTGGGGGAGACAGAGAGAGACAGACAGACAGACAGAGAACATGCAGAAGAAATACAGTACGTAAAATAAGATCATAGATTTAAACCCAAATAATTTAGCATGCAAACAAAATATAAATGCATTAAATGATTCTTTAAGGACGACAGATGTATACCCAGTGAGTGAGTGCTACGCCCAGCTTGGATGGCCAGGCGCGGGGCTTCCTCCCCGGTGCTGCCAGGTCGCTGATTCCTGCCCCTAGGGGGCTTGGCACGTTTTCACGTTTTCTGGAACACATACCCTTATGCAGTTACTTCTGGTCAAGTCCTTTGTGTGGGGAGTTCTGGCCTGCATGGTGACCCATGGTGCCCACAGGCCGTGTCCCCCTCGTCTCTGGAGTCCACACAGCTGCACACTGTACTAAAAGGCGGGATTTTGAAGGAGGGAAAAAAAAGGAACAACAGATATAAAAACCCTAATTATTATTTTTTTAATAAGAGATGAAGCTAAAGGGTAAGGATAGAGATTGAAAGCAAAAGGTTGGAAGAAAATATACCAAGTGTTTCAGGTGAGTTAGAAAAATAGAAGCCTCTTGAAACATTTTGAATAGAAATGTATTTAATAAAGGGAATTAGAATTTCTTTGAAGTAGCTGGGTGATTAAAGATCAGGGAGCAAACATGAGAAAGCTGCTTTCATAGAAAATCTGCTTTCAGGAAAACAACAGTGGAACTTCTTAGAAAAATTAATGATTGCTTCCTATGAAGCTTCCAAATCTTGGGAGTTGGCCCTCATTAGCAGAATTATATCTAGACTCAAGCAAAGGAAGGCAACAGTACAAATTACAGTTCTAAGTCTCCCCTTCGAAGCAGAGGTAAGTGATAAAGGCAATAGTTTTAATGCCTAAGTGACAAGAAGTCATCCAGCCCTAAAGGAAATATGCATAACTACAGTAACACTAATGTAGACTCTAATGCCAAAGACATCACTAGACATAAAAAAGTCATTCCACAATACCAAGACCTTCTCCAGGAAAGTATAATAATATTAAAATGTGTACATGCCTAGAAAGTTTTAAATCATATGAAGCAACAATTGACAGAACTACAAAGAGAAATAGATTTTACATACTTCAGAATAAACATTCAGCAAAGATATGCAAGATTTTAAATATGAATGATTTAATTTAATGGGCTCATATAGGACACTGCCACCAGGGAATCCATTTCTTTTCTAGTACACACAGAACATTCACAAATATTGGCAATATCCTGTGGTGTAATCTAATCCCAAGCAATTTCTAAAACTCAAAACTGTGAACATAGTGTTTGACTTCCATCAGGCTGGAACCCAAGATGGCAGTGCTCTTGTTGAGACATGCTGGCCATCGTTGCCTCTGTTCCCACCTAAGTCCTCAGCTCTATATTAGAAATGCTGTTCCTTTGGGAACCATGGCCAAAGAAGAGATGGAGTGGTTCTGGAACAAGAACACGGGTTCGAACCATCCTGTATCTTCCCACTTCACTATCTACAGTTGGTCTTTTCCCATTATGTCCATTTGCCATCATGGCACTGGCATGGCCTTGAATGGAGGGGTCTCTCCGTTTGGTGTATCAGCTCTGTTGCTCCCTGGGAACTTTGAGTCTTATTTGGAATTTGTAAAGTCTTTGTGTCTGGAGCTAGCACTGATCTACACAGCTAAGTTTGCACTCTTCTTCCCACTCATGTATCACACCTGTAATGGGATCCATCACTTGATGTAGGACCTAGGAAAGGCCTGGAGACTGCCCAGATTTACCAATCTAGGGTGACTACCTTGGTTCTGACAGTGTTGTCCTCTGCGGGACTGGCAGCCATGTGAAGAGCTGACGTTCCCAGCATCATCTTCCTACAAATTAGTTGTCACAAACTGCTTTACCTTCTTATCCCTCATTCTTACCCTAGTCAACAGAGTTACCTGATCTCTTTAGATCCTTCTGTGTTTGCAGATAATCCCCCTTAGCTCAATAGACTGGCTTGTAAAACTACAATAATAGAAAGGGTCCAGTTTTTCCCTTGTTTCTCACAGTGGAATAGCTGTAAAAACGCCCTTTTCCTGCCCACAGTTTGCTGCCTTCCCTGGGCCTAGAAGCCTATTCTCTGTCCACACTGGGCTTTGATTTGTGCTGAGGGTCAGCTTTTGGCTCCTTCTTCCTGAGACAATGGAAACAATGCCAGCTCTGTGGCTTCTGCCGTGGAAGCTGGGGGGAAGGCTTTGGGTGCCACTGCCTGTGGGTTGCTGGCTTAAAGGACAGTTCTGTTCACTGGTCAGAGTCCAGGGTCTTTAGCACCCACACAGTGTGACTGAAAGCAGGGAGGTGGGGATGGAAGGAAATTGTCCTGGCTTGGCTAGAGGGAGATAAAAGGGATGCTGGTTCTCAGAGCAGGTGCCTTAGGAAGAAGAGACATGGCTTTTGATGAAAGAAGAAGATCCAGAAAGCATTTCATTAACTATTTTAAGGTGTTTTTGTCTCTGGTAGGTTTTTTTGTTTTCTTTTGTTTTTGCATTTATGGGATGGGGAACCCTTCTAGTGTCATGTTTTCTAATCCAAGTTCATGTACATCTTTTCTGAAACAATTAAAATGCTCCTTTAAAAAAATGTTTGAGAGCCTTATAGAAACTAAGCTAGAAACCAACACCAAATAAAATTAACATCTTTTAGGAAACGAGAAATCATACTGTCGCAGTTTGGGTCTTAAATGTCCCTCAAAGGCTGCTATATGAAAGGCTTGGTTGCCAGACTCTGGTGCTGCGGGGGCTGGGTGGAATGTTTAGGAGCTGTGAGCTTGTGGAAGGAAGGAAGCTCACCCAGAGGGAAGGGCTTAGGAGTGTGGGAGCCTGACCCCTCCTCTGGTGCTTTCGTTTCGTGGATGCATTGGGGTGACCAACTTTGTTCCACCACATGCTCCATCATGTTCTGTCACCACAGGCCCCAGTCAGTGGAACCAACTGATCATGGATAGAAATCTCCATAAGGCTTCAGCCAAAATAAATGAACCCAAATAATTTTTCCATGCTGATAAGTTAATTACCTCAGATATTTTGTCATAGTAATATCTTTCTAAGACACACATATCTAAATGATCAGGAGCCCAGAAAAGAATTTTAAAATATGTAGAATATTTAGAACTGCATTTCAAAATAAGTAGCATCAGCCAAAACAGTGTTCTGAGGAAAATTTATAGCCTTAAAATGCAAATACTAGAAAGGAAAGATCCTGAAAATTAAATTAGTAGACATAAAAAAGCAGAAAATAATGATCCATGATCAAGAAGAAAATCAGTAGAGACAGTAAACTTGAATAATTTAAAGAATAATTTTGTAAAATAGTGCAAAAGGATTAATGACCAAGAATTCAGAATTGGAGGAAACAAGGAACAGGTAAGAAAAGGGAAGGAAAGCAATGGTGAAGGAGACAATGTTTAATGACATGACCTTTGAAGGATGTTTTTAGGATGGTAAAATTCTAATATTTTAAGTTATCTGCTGTAGAATTGTTATCTTTTTCCAATCTTCATCAAGAGTCTTTTTGAAAGATCTGTTTTATATTTGGGATTAGAAAGTGAGACCCACGAAGGGGCTGTACCCTAAAGATAAGGAGGAGCAGCTATACGATGCGGACTGGAGAGTGAGAATTAGATTCAAGCTGAAAACTGGTGGAGAGGTGGCAGGCAGCCAAGTGGGCCCCTGGGATTTCATAGCCCACTTGGGGATGGGTAAGAATGCCAAAGGTAGGGAATGGAGGCTCCGGCTGATTTTACATGAAAGACAGATGACTCACCTCACATATTATTACTGTATCTGAGTGGATTTTTTTCTGAGTGAATTATTTACAGTGAAGAACATACAGCTGTCTGAAAGAACCTGGACCTGCATATCTTGAGTGCGGATCTACCCAGGAAGCAACGTGATCCTTGGTAATTCTGGAGAAAAGCTGAGAGGGAAAATGTGATAGGTTAAGTGTCTAAAGTCATCAAGATACAACAGCCTGATTCAGGCATAGTCAACATCTTGTCCATTTTCCAATGATGAATGGAGCTATGGGAAAGTCAAGCTCATAAAGGCCTGCACTCCACCCTGCACACCACAGGGGCCGTTGCAGTGTGTGGTCCCCTAGACAGTACAGAACGCTTACATCTGCTTCACCTTATTGTCTGAATTAAGAAAAACACCAACCTCCAGCACTGTCTCAGCCAACGCTTACTGCAGCTTCCTGGACTTATGAGGACTTTATGTGTGACTTATGTCTGCATTTTGATGTTTCTTTTTTGTTTCATGTCCTTTTTGTTCCTCTATTTCTCTTTTACTGCCTTGCTTTAAGTGGATAAGTTCTGATATACAATGTTGATCCTCATTATCTTAACACTATTTCAAAGGGTTATTTTCTTAGTGATTGCTCTGTGAACTATATAACTGGTATTTTATCACACTCTACCTCAGATTAATGTTGACTTAACTCCAGAAGAATAGAGAAACTATGTTCCAAAATAGCTTTATTTTTATCTCCTTGCTTGGCACAGGTGTATCAAATATGCATCCCAGGAGGTGACATGGAAATATGACAAATTATTTACAGTAGAATCATAAACATCTTATTAGTAATCTGACTACATGTTATTTGAGGCCATACAAAGTTATGATAAACCAAGAACATGATCATGATAAACAAGCTTTACTGATTTCTACACCCAAAGCTCTATGTTCCCTCACATATGATGATAGAGTCACAGCTATGTGCACACTCCCAGGGGAAGAATGTGCCAACGTCAGCTGAAAGGCACCCCGATGTGGCAGCCCCTGACACAGTGTCACTGGGCCATTAGGTGATGGGATGATCCTCCTCAGCTGAGATGAGACTAAGCAACTCTTGAATGTTGTTTTGCTCTTGCACATCGAGCTGTTGGTCTTTGACTAACGTGAGGGCTTTCATGGCGTATTCCTGTGCCTGAAACAGAAGTGCAATGACAAAAGGGCATCATTACAAGAAAACGGAGCAGTGGAAAGCCCTGCTTGTGGTGAGCTCCAGAAACATGAGTGGGAACTTACTGCTGTCTCATACCAGCCACTGAGTTCAGGGTAGGTGAAGTATGTTTATTATAAATTGCAGGATCTAAAAATTAATTTGTTACAGGGACTGAGGAAAATCTCCCATCCACGTACTAACCAGGCCCGACCTTCCTTAGCATCCGAGATCAGATGAGATGGGCATGTTCAGGGTGGTATGGCCGTAGACAGACTAAGGAAAATCTGAGATGACTTCTCCTCCAGCTGTGGGCATGAAAGGACATGGTGCCAGCCCTCGTGGAGGGATGGTAAGGGCGTGGAGGAGACACCCACGCTGCCCATTTATTGGCACACAGTGGCCGGGCCCCAGCTGCTGTCCTCAGCATCTGTGCCACACCACATTCAAGGGGAGAGGCCTTCAGTCCTCTACGGTGAGGGCCAAACTGGGGCCTCATGGGAGCCTCACACTTGAAGTTCAAGCTTTCTCACTATGAAGTATTTAAAGCATTCTCACTTTAAATTTCAGTTACGTGTGGAACTAATTGATAAAATATTTATCATTTTATTTCAATGACAGTACAATTAATAAGTTGTGACCCAATTTGCTCTGTAAGTGCATGGGCGACAATCCTCACCATGTAGTAAGAGACCCAGAGAACTGGGCAGCCAGTCCTAGGACAGGCCCAATATGGAAGGAATGCGCTGAACCTGGGTCAGACAGCAGCACACGAGCTGGGAGCTGCTGGCAGATCCCTGGAGGCAAGGGGGGACTGCAACCAAGAGGGCTTGAGGGGGCCCACAGGCCGCTCAGGTCACCCCCCTGCCTCTAAGACAGACATCTCTGCAGCAGCAGTGTGCAGCCTAGCGAACCCTGGGTCTCGTTTTCTCGTCATCATCTTCGTATTTCATCTTTTCAGGCTTCCTAAAAACTGAGCTCTTGTTGATAAACCTGTGAACACACACCAGGCCCTTGTGGCTGGCCACGCATGTACAGAGTGGGAAAATACACATGACTTGAGAAACTGAGTACAATAAGCACATTTTCTTAGCAAAGTGAAATCTTCATAAGAGTTTCATTAGAGTCATACAGACCAACATGGGAGGCACAGAGGCGACAGGTCCCTATCACGGTTTAGATCTAATATTCCCCAACAGTGGGGCCTGGCAAAGAGGTGGCTCGCCAGGGGTGTGGCCCAGAAGGGTGCATGTGCTTCTCTTCAGTTCCTTCCTCCTCCTTCTGCTTCCTGGCTGCCAGGAAAAAAGCAGAGCTCCTTTCCCACGCCCTTCACCTGTGCCAATCTGCCTTGGACCTGCTGACAGTGGACTAAAAGTTTTGAAACTGTGAGCCAAAGTAAACCTCACATCCTCTAAATTGCAGGTGTCCCACCAAAGCCTCATGCAGTCACTGGGGAGGGCTTTTAGAGTTGGTTATTAATTCACGATCCAAAGCTGGGATTATGGGTGTGAGTGCTACACACACAGATAACTTATAATGCAATGCAAGGAACGGAGAGCGGCTTGCTCTCTGTCAGAGCCATTGCTCCTCCCTTTTTACTCTTGCTGTTTTGCTGTTTGCTGCCGCCATGAACAGCTGCCCTCTGCCACATGCCGCTCTGCCTTGGAGACCGCTGATTATGGACTGAAATCTCCATAGACTGTGAGCTAAATAAACCTTTCCTTCCTTAATTTGGGGTGCCGGGTATTTTGTCCCAGCAATGAGAGAAAAGTAAGCATGACAACAGAGAAGTGACTAATGCATTGCCTCAAATAAATTACCATGGTGGAGGATAAATTGCTCTCCCAAGGTTTTGAATTTAGGCAGAGGTTCCCCCAAGACAACCTGGGGATTTCTATTTCTGTCTGCCTTTCTTCTTCCCTTCAGTTATGACTGTGTCCAGATGGCACCCAAGCCTCATGTGCTTATGGCTGGGGCTTTGTACAGGTGGCTGGAGCTAGAGTGTGTGGTGCTGGGATTAAGGATGTGAAGCTAGGATCGATTAATGGCGCACTGCTGGGATTAAGGGTGCCCCACCATGGGTAGCATGGATAGAGTATAAGGGACAGAAAGAGGGCCGCTGTGATCACTTGCTATTTGCTGCTTGTGTTGTCCTCTGCCTGCCGTCAACTGTTTCTCTCTGTGATGTCCATCTGCCACGCTACCCTGCCTTGGAGCCAGCCAACTGTGAACTGAAGCCTGCACAAACTGAACCAAATAAACCTTTCCTCTAACTTTGGGTGGCAGGTATTCTTGTCTCAGCAAAAGTAACTAAGATACCTTTTTATTTATTCATTTCAGACAGGGTCTCACTAAGTTACCCCGGCTGGCCTCGTACTTGCAGTCCTCATGCTTAGCCTCTTAAGTAGCTGGAATTATACCCTCCTTCCTCCTAATAAATATTTAGCAACTAGTTACTATGTGCCAGGTAGTATGACTATAGGCAGAAATTCTTTTCTTAGAATTTATAATATAGTAAGGGAAAAAGACTATAAGACCTGATAGTATTTTAGATAGTAAAATGTGGTAAAGAATAAATAAAGCAAGAAAGTGGGATCAGAAGCACCGGAGGTGGCAAGTGGGGGTTTATAATTTCAGATGGGAAGGTCCGGGAAAGCCCCACTAAAAAGGAGAGAGCTGGGCAGAGACCTGCAGGCAGCTCAGCACCAATCTGGATGTGCAGGTGTGCCCCTTTGTCTAAAGACTTCTTGTAGCCCTAACAACCTGAAGATTCCTTGGGGTAGTTACTGCCCCCAAATTAGGCCTTGCACTGTGGAAGAGATTTGCCCAATGGAAATAGGAACATGTGGCAGAAAGAGCCTCCTGTTGCCCGAGTATTCCTGCGCCCGCGCCAGTCAGGGTCAGGACTCTTCTGTGTTCCCACAGTGCCCTGGGCTGCCCTGTCACACTCTACCCTAACACCTGACTGTGAGCTCCTCCAGGCCATGATGTACAGTAGGTGGTGAGTAAATATCTACAGAAGAGAGGAAAGAGGGAAGAAAGGGAAGGAGAGAAGGAGAAAGGAGAAAGGGTATCTTCGAATTTTCCATGTCACCTACACGAGAAAGGTCCCTTCTGAGCAGCCCTCCCCACCTCTCTCTTCCCAGCCCGCTTCATTTTGCTTCATCACACTTTCACTATCTGAAACTATACTACACATTTCTGTGTTTACTTGGTTATTGTGGTTTCCATCTCCCCAAATTCTACATTCCCTGGAGAAAGGGAACTTCTCTGGATGTTCACCTCTGTGTCCCCAGTCCCTAGAACAGTGCTTTGCAAATGGAAAACACTCCATAAATATGTAAATGGAGGAGCAAATAATTGATCAATGGATAAATTAATAAACCTGAGGTATCCCACTACTATCTTAAAACACTGGGCAAATAACTGACCCGCTCTCTGCTTTAGTTTCCTTTGTTTCTATAGAGACAATAAGATACAAACCTCATAAAGTTGTTACGAGAACCATCATATTAAATATAATTAGGTAAAGGGCTTAAGCCACTGACTGTTAGATAGTAATCATAACCCTAACACTAATCCTTTTATTTTTTTTTTTAACAGCAGTCCATTCCCACCCGCATCCTGGCACCAGCAGACCTGGGTACTCAAGTGCGGTCTGAGTAGCCACTTTACTCTCCAGGACTCACCGAGCCCACTGCCCTGCAGGCTTTCTGGACTGCCCCAAACTCAGCTCACCTATGCAAGCTTGGGAAGTTTCCCTCCAGGGAAGCAGGCAATCCAAGTTCCATTATGTAGGCCAGACTCAACAATGAGAAATATCATGAGCGTCTGGACTTTTATAGAGGGAGCGCTTGCTCTTAGGCCAAAAGCTAGTGGGACCCTGCAAAACATAGCCGAATCCATGTACAAGGGCAATTCCTAGCTCGGTTTTGATACGCTGCTTTTCTAGGGAAACTTGCCTTTGAAGAATTCATCATCTGATAGTAAAGCATGATCAGAGTTTTCAGAACAAAGACAGTCTTTTGAGGAGATTTGTCAGAAGCTGATTCTCGGAAGTTCAGGATGGAAGTGAGGATCTGAATAGCTTCTGCTTCCTGGGCTTCATCTGCATTAGAAGAGGAGGAAAGCAACACGGGCCTGAGTGGCTGAGCCCACCTTCATCGCCTTCACCATGAGTGCTCAGCTGTAGGGCATCCCCGCCCCAAGCTTTCGTCAAGGAGCTCTGGTAGAAACAGCACAAATGCCAGCATGCTTCTCACTAGGAGTGCTCTCTCTCTCTCTCTCTCTCTCTCTCTCTCTCTCTCTCTCTCTTTCTCTCTCTCTGCCTCTCTCTGTCTCTGTCTGTCTCTTTCTGTCTCTCTCTTTGTCTCTGTCTGTCTGTCTCTCTCTCTGTCCGTCTCTCTGTCACACTGTCTCTGTCTGTCTCTCTGTTGCACTCTCTGTCTCTCTCAGTCTCACTCTGTCTCTCTCTCTGTCTTTCTGTCTCTGTCTCTCTCTGTGTCTGTGTCTCTGTCTCTCTATCTCTGTCTCTCTGTCTTTCTCTCTGTCTCTGTCTGTCTCTCTGTCTCTGTCTACCTCTCTCTCTGTCCCTCTGTCTCTCTGTCACACTCTGTCTCTCTGTCATTCTTTGACTGTCTCTCTGTTGCTCTCTCTGTCTCTCTGTTTCTGTCTCTCTCTCTCTCTCAGCTGGATTCCTTGAGTCAATTTTTTTTTTTTTTGGTGGTACGGGGGATCGAGCTCAGGACCTTGCACTTGCCAGGCAGGCATTTATGCCGCTGAGCTATCTCCCCAGCCCTCCTTGAATTTAATTCTTTGAGTGCCGCTTCTACTATATAGCCGAGAAGAGAGAGCCAGGGCACTTCAGGAAGCTGCAGCAGTTAATTCCTCTCCCCAAATCCAAAGATGCCTACGCAATAGTGTTTTTGCTTCTTCACATGAGCCTACTATTTTCTGCATGGTGTTTGGTCACACATTAGTTACTACTCATTAAGCAGTTATTATGGACCAGGTACTTAAAAGCACATCTTTAAGAAATAAACTTAATGATAACAAAAAAGGCAGATGTCATGCTATAAAGGTTGGAGAAGTCTATGACTTCAAAACATTCTGCTGTAATGCAAGCTACTTTTATTATAAGAAGAAAACTCATTAAATTTATCAATTTTTAAAATTTCTCACAAAATCTTTCCTCCAAAGTCTCACCTCTTCAATACCATCCAATTTTATTCACTTAATTCTGGGATTCATCTTATAATTTCATTTGTACTTGAGGAAATGTTCTTTCATTACAGGGCATACATTCTGTGCCACCAGCTGCATGGGATCTTTCTTTGGAGGGGAAATGAAACCTCCTGACTTTTTCTTGTCGCAGAGGCATGGTGCCATCTAGTACTACGTAGCACTCATCCCTCCGCTGAACTTTGGCATAGAGATTAAACCAAATTTTGTTCTACTACTGAGAACCTGATTGCTCTATAAATAAAGAAGATAAGCCATCAGAACAAACCAGCCTTCTTTGGCTTGTGTGCCCTGGCAGAATAACATGAAAAAGATAGATGTTCTGAAGAAGCCATAGGGGCATTTGTTGGGTCTTTTTTCTTCAGCTCTTCACCATTATTAGTCTCCTGAGGCTATGTGCCATGATAGGCCTCTGAGTTATTCCCAACAGTAAAAGCTCTGACTCTCATCTCTCAGATTTCATTAGTAAAATAGGGAAGGTGGCACTAAGGTGCCCCATGATGGGAATAGCTGATGTACCCATCAGGAGCAATTCTACTATTAGGGAGGATAATGTTACTGTTCTTTTAGGGAAAATTGCCACTTACCCAATCCAGTGTCATTCACAAATCGTTTCCCTAGTAAATCTATTTGTTGGTTGCGAGCCTGTGACAGGACTTGATAGTGATCGTTCAGATATTTATGCCAGATTTCTGACACCTGTTAGGAAGGGAGATCGCAATCACATACACAAGCCAGAACTCAGCTACTCGATGTGCCAGGTGAGAGCACAGCTCCTGGAGTCTGATTTCCTGAGTCTGAAGCCCCCTCTCTTATTGTGTCTGGGGACAGAGGGGGCCCTGGGAGCCCAAACAGACCTTGCTGAACTGACTGTGACAAGAGATGGGCTGCAAAGAACACATACCAGACCCATCATGGGTGGAATCTAATAAGACTTGTGGGGCAAATTCAATACTAAACACTTATGGCCTTACATCATCCTGTGTGTTACTATTCTCATCTTACATGTAAATAAACTGAGGCTTAGAGAAGTTATGATCACACTTGACTTTTGGGAAGAGCTTTCAAGAGGTATAGCCTGGATCTAAACCTAGATCTGGGAGGGAACACCAAGACAGCAGAGCACTAATCATCAGAGAAAAAGCCTCTCTGAGGGTCACCATACAGATGCTGGAATATAGCAATATGAAGAAGACAAGAAGGATGGAAGTGGGTCCCCTGGACCCAGAAAGGATCTGAAGTATGAATCTGAAGACATGGAGACAGTGAAAAGAGAAATATCAATGAAGAAAAAGGTAGCTGGCAGTGCCTTCTCCCCAAGAGAGGACTCACTGTGTGAAGAGACACTCAAACCTGTAGACACATGTGCCTGCTGGTGACCCCAGAGGCCTCCATGGAGAGATATAGCAATGGAAGGACTACACTAGCTGTCAATGAGTGCTGAGGGCTCACTTGTCCCACACAAAATAGCAATTGGCCAGGAGCCATCTTGGAGAGGGGCCTCTGAGCTCAGAACTCAGAATGATTACTGCTTTCATCTACCAGCTTCTAGCCAGGCTCAGGCCCTCAAAAGGTATGTTGATGGCTGCAAACCAAATGAGTCCAGTCTCTGTCAGAAGGCGCAGGCTCACTGACTGTATGTACTACCTTGCCAAAAGGCTACTGCTGTCTTGCTAGGATAAATGAACATAGATCAGGACTCAAACTCCACACATTATCTACCAGTGACAGCAGAAACAAACCTGGAAACTTTTTCTCTTTTCTTTTTTTTCTCTCTGTCTTTTGTTGTTGTTGTTGTTGTTGTGGTGGTGGTGGTAGTGGTGGTGGTAGTGGTATTGATTCTGCTTTTTGTTTTTGTTTTTCTATTGTTTAATCTGGTATTTTGTTTTTTACAATTATGAACATGGTTTCTAGCCTCTTGTGGTTGTGGTTTTGTTCAATCCTTTTTATCTATTCCTTCTTTCCTTCCCTACAATCTTCAGTGCCAGTTTCTCATAGTTAATGTGATCCCCTTTTGTTCTCCAACCTTACTTCTAATCTCTTCTTCTTCTTCCACTTCTCTATTTTCTCCCTAACCCATTTTAAATTTTATTCCCTAAGGACAAAATTGACATATTAAGCAAGTGTATATTGTATACAATTTTCTGGTTTGCTTTGGATTTTGTTATATAACCACAAATCTAGTTCATATGGGTAAAAGTGGTAAATTAATGGTTAGCTCAGTTTGTCATTTTCTAGGCTGTGTTTAATGCTATTATCATTGTTGATGGTACTATTATAGCCAAAAGTGACACAATATTTCTAAGCAGGTGTTCTTTTTCATCTTCTATCATTGAGATTGACAAAAGGTCACAGAAAATACTGTAGCACAGTGTCAAAGAACCAGGGGCTGTGCCAAATAGGCAGCAACTTCTTATCCCCAACAAATTGCAGAGGTAGGATTTTTGTGTGTGTGTGTGGAGCCAGGGATTGAACTAAGGCCCTTGTGGTTGCTAGACAAGCGCTTATTCTACTGTGCTATCTCCCTGGCCCAGAGATAGGATCTTGCAACACACTAAAAATCAGAAAACCAGATACATCTATGAGATATCATAGAGTAGTCACTTCCTAAGGGTTCTAAATACTAGCAATAAAACAACCCACCATAGGCAATTTACAAGCATCACCACAGGAATTTTTTAAAAAATGGGAAGACACTCAAACAAGATGCAATCCCAGACATCCAGTTCACCAAAGGCAAATCCAGGGAGCAATGAGGTGGGACAATCTGCAACTACTCTGGCTTCTCTGAAGTGGTAATAACAAAGCAATTGAATGAGACTCTGGGAAAAAAATCAAGTTAGAAATAGTTTCTGAGATAATTGCAGAGGTGGTGTCCACAATGAAAAAAATGCTTATTGGCCCTAGAGAAGGAAGAGAGAGAGAGAGAGAGAGAGAGAGAGAGAGAGAGAGAGAGATTTAACAAAATTATAGAAGCCATAAATTCTCAGCATAGGAAAGAAATGGGAAAAAAAGGAAAGAAATGGAATCTGCAAGGCAAATTCAAGCAGATATGCAGGAAAATAAAAATTCTATTGAAAGGATCCACAGCAAATTAAGCCAATGCAAGAAGAAACTCTCAGATATAGAAAGGCTTGCAGTTAATGATCATGAAAAGATTTCATAAAAATAGGAATGGGATGGGCTGGTGCCTCAGTTACATTTTACTTATTGCTGAGACAAAATACCCAACACACAAAATTAAGGAAGGAAAGTTTTATTTAGCTCACAGTTTGTGGAGGTTTGAGTCTGTATTCGGCTGGCTCCCAGGAAGAGTGGCACATGGCAGAGAGCGGCAGCTCATGGTGGCAGTAAACAGCAAAGAGCAAAGGGAAGGAGCAGAAGTTTTGGCATCTATTAAGTCTTTCTCCCTTCCTTCCATGCTGACTGCGAAGACTGGAGCTCCACCGTGAAGATCATGTGGCTGTGAAGATTAAGCTCCTCTGAAATGGCACAGCTGCGAAGTGGCATGGTGAAGAATGGAACTCCTCCAAGGAAGTGGGGTGCACAGAAGCCTTCCTCAACCCCTTTACATACCCTTTTTGTGCTGAGTCACTCTAGGGCAAGCCCTCCCCACCCTAGGGTGGGGCCCCCATGCCGCAAGATGTGAACTCACCAAGCAGATCCAACCAAGCTTCAAACATCTCAAGTTGACACAATGTGTCGACCACCACAATCTACCCCTTGTCAACTTGGAAACTACAAATATACTTCTTTAAACCAGTCTCTAGATACAAAGATTTCTTTTGCAAGATTAGCCCCACTGTGCTTAATCTCAGTCTCAGGCAAAGTCTCTGGACAGGAGCAAAATGCAGACAAACTTTCTGCCAAGCCATAACACAAATCACCTGCAATCCAAAAACCAAAGCAGTCCTTCTTCCCGGCAGAAACCTCCACAGCCTGATCTTTACAGGCAGGCTTTCTATCAGCATTCTGGTCTTCTGAGCTCTGACCAGAATCTTCTCAACAGAAGAGCTGAAGGCATTGCAGGTCTTCACTAGTAGGCAATGTCTCCAAACCTTTCCTATATCTTCCCATAAGATATTCCCAAAAGCTCTTGAACAACATGGCCACACAGTCACAGCAATGATGCCATTTCTCCAGTACCAAATTCTATCTCAGTTACTTTTTACTCGTTGCTGGGACAAAATACCTGGCACCTAAAATTAAGAAGGAAAGATTTATTTAGCTGATAGTTTGTGAAGGTTTCAGTATGTACTTAGCTGACTCCCAGGCAGAGTGGCACACGGCAGAGAGCAACAGTTCATGGCAGCAGTAAGCAGCAAAGAGCAAGGGGAAGAGCAGAATCTGTGGCTTCCAGCCAGCCTTTCTCCCCTCCTTATATTAAAACAAGCTATCCTGGGGCTGGAGGTGTAGAACTCACACAATGTCCATGCCCTTCTCTTACACAGCATGAGGATGTTTACAACTAAGAATCCTGGGTCTCTGCTGAGTCACTTAATTAAACCTCTAAACCTCTCAAGTTGACTCAGTGTATCAACCAGTAGAGCTGGGGAGATAGCTCAGCAGTCTCAGCACCTACCTGCAAGTGCAAGGACTCAGGTTCAATTCCCCATCCTGTAGGCTGTGCAGGCCCTGAACCCCAGTCACATTGAGCCAGCCACCAAAACCAGGCATGGTGGTGCATGCCTGTAATCCCAGCACTGGGGAGGCTGAGACAGGAGGATCACTACAAGTCCGAGATGCATAGCGAGACCTCATATCAAATAAATAAATAAAAAGATAAAAAAATGTTTTTAAAATTAAAAAAAATAGGGCTGGGGAGATGGCTCAGTAGAATAAGCACATCCCTGGCAAGAGCAAGAGCCTGAGTTCAATCCCTGGTTCTGCCAAAATAAATAAATAAATAATTTTTTTTAAAAAGCATGGGACCCTGAGAAATCCATCTAGCAGCTGCTACATGAGGCAACAAAGAATAATTTAAGATTATAGTTAATGAAAAGACAGGACATAGCACAAAAGATGTGAAAAAACTGTTCACAGACATCATAGCAAAAAATTTCTCTGGTAGAGAAAAAGAATTTGACATACACTTAAGTGAGGCATACAGAACTCTAATTAGCCATGATCAAAAGAAATCTATAATCAGGTATATCATAGTCAAGATTCCAGAAAGAATTTGACATGCACTTAAGTGAGGCATACAGAACTCTAATTAGCCATGATCAAAAGAAATCTCCAAAAAAAAAAAAAAAGAAATCTATAATCGGGTATATCATAGTCAAGATTCCAGAAAGCGAATGCAAGAATCAAATCTTAATCGCTGCTAGAAAAAATAAACAAATCACCTATAAAGGAAAGTCCATCATAATAACAGCTAACTGCTCAGCACAAACCCTCAAGTCAAGGAGAGCTTGGAGTGAAGTATTTCAAGTTCTAAAGGAAAAAAGCCTCCAACCCAGAGTGATGTACCCTGCAAAATTATCTTTGAAAATTGATAGAAAAATAAGATACATCCATGACAAAGAACATTTGAGGAACTTTATGGCCACTAAACAAGCACTCCAAAATGCTCCGAGGAATGTCCTAGAAAGAGATAACAAGGACTACAGCTCCATGAGCCCTAACAGAAGGAATCCACCAGGAAAAGCAAGCAGTTAAATAGAGGGGTGGGGGAAGAAGCCGGCAGCGAGAAAGTA